TGATGACACGGTAAGTTTGTATTCTAAACTTCTGGATATACATGTACAGTATATCTGTCTTTTTTACGCAAAATATTCCCACCCAGGCAGTATATGTTACTTCAAGGTATACTATGTTGTTTATAATAATATAATAATTTATTAATTAAGCACTTTTAGTTACAATTTGACAGATTACTATAGACATTAAAAAATGCAGACAGTGCAGGCCACCTGTAATAACCATAAAGAGCTAATCAGTGACAGGTGGCCATTAGATAACAATACAATTTTATAAAAAAAAAAGACCCAAAATAACGACACAAAGTAGAGCTAATTATTAGAAAACACATCAGTTAGCTCATCAATAAAATACAGTACTACAGAGACATAACACACAGAAAAACAAAGACTCTTATCAGAACGGTATAAAATGTAAAATAAGACCAATGGCTACATATATCAATAACCAATTGCTGCCCAACACAAGGAAAAGCGGCAGATTAGCCATCATAGCCATAAATTATTTCACATTTAAATTACGTTTAAACGAAACTCTGCTTAGAGACTTAAGTGATTCATCAACAGCATTCCAAATTTTTGGACCAATGAATCTAATATTAAATTTTCCATAGTTGGTTCGAGCTTGAGGAAGCGAAAAAGTAGATTTAGAGGCTAAGCGAGTATTGTAGCAGTGCCTGGAACTAACCGAGGTAAAAAAATCGCTAAAATTTCTAGGAAGATTGCCATTGTTGTATTGATGCATAAATAATGCAGTATTTAAATAGACAACATCCGGCAGTTTTAGCAGGTTCAATCTCTTAAAGAGAGGTGAAGTGTGTGCCCGGAAATCAGAAAATGTTATAATACGTACAGCTTTTTTTTGTAAGATAAATAAGGGTAAGATATTTGATACGTTGGTGTTTCCCCATACTAGGACTCCATATGAAAGAAATGGGTAGATAATAGAATAATATATTTGTACCAGGATTTTGATAGGAATAAAATGTCTAAGTTTTGACAAAATCCCAATACCTCTTGATATTTTTCTTGATAATTCAAAAATATGATCTTTCCAATTTAAATGGCCATTCATGATGACCCCTAGATATTTGATGTTTCTTTTTTTTGCCAATGTGTTATTGTTTATTATAAGATTAATTGAATATAGGATTTTCTTTTGAGGAGGGTGAAAGATAAAAAAATTGGATTTATCAATATTTAAGGATAACCTATTGGCACAAAGCCATTCATTAATATTGCAAAGCTGTTCATTCATTTTGGTTTCTAGACATTGCAAACTCTTATGTGAGTAGAATAGATTAGAATCATCAGCAAAAAGGTTAAAATGTAAATCAGGAGCAAAATTGTTAAAGTCATTGATGTATAATAAGAACAAAAGAGGACCTAGAACTGATCCTTGTGGAACACCACATGTGATAGACTTTAGGTCTGACTTTATATTACCAATTGAAACAAATTGAAATCTATTAGTAAGATATGAACAAAACCATTCCTTTGCAATTCCCCTTATTCCATAGTGTTCAAGTTTTTTCGAATTAAAATTGAGCGATTGACAGTGTCAAAAGCCTTGCTTAGATCCAAAAATATGCCGCATAAATAAAGTTTCTTTTCAATAGCATTTTGAATTTTATCTGTTATAAGTAGAATAGCATGTGAAGTAGAGCGATTAGAACGAAAACCAAATTGTTCATCGAAAAGTACCTCATTCTTGTTAAGAAATTGTATAAGTCTCTTATACATCAGCTTTTCAAGTAATTTATTAAATACCAAAAGTAACGAAATAAGACGATAATTAGAAATGATAGTTTTAGGTCCTTTCTTGTGTACAGGAATGACTCTTGCTATTTTCAATTTATTCGGGACAACACCTGAGGAAAAAGAACAACTAAATAAATATGCCAATGGTCTAGACACAAGGATTTTAATAATCTTTAATAATTTTGTAGGAATACTAAATGGTCCGACTGATTTCGATTGATTTAGACTATTAATTTCATCTATAATTTCACTAGGAGTGACCAAGAATAAAGCAAAACTATTACTCAGGGGGTTGTACAAGTATTCATTGGGAGACGTATTAACCACTGGAACCATATGGGCAAGATTCAAGCCAATATTTGCAAAATAGTCATTAAATGCATTGACAATGCTTTGCCTGTCAGTAACTTTTAAGCATCCTAATTCCAATGTAGTAGGCACATTATTATTGACATGTTTCAAAGTTACTAATTGTTTAATACCTTTCCACATCCCTTTTATATTATCATTATTTTTTAGGAAATAATTGTTGTAGTAAGATTTTTTACTTATAAGAACTTAATGCTTGAGCTTGTTTCTGTAGTATTTAAATTTAGATAGATAATAAGCGTTCTTAGATCTTATATAGGATTTATATAATTTATTTTTTTATGGCAATGGAAATTCTAAGACCCCTAGTTATCCAAGGTTTAGTTTGTAACCGTGATTCCCTCTTGGATAACTTTTTAACAGGCACATGTTTGTCAATGATATCAGATATTTTAGCATGGAAAGACTCAAATAATAAATTAACATCATCCTCAGCAGGCAACACTTCATCCCAATTAATCGACTGAACATCAGCTAAAAGCTCTTCTTCATTAAAGCTCGAAAAATCTCTTCTATACTTAGGATTATTATTCAGGGTACTTGTTAATCTATTAATATTAAGAAAATTTGGGAGATGGTCGGTAATATCACAAAGTAGGTTCCCACTAATAGTACAATGCTCAATAGAATAAAAATAGATATTGTCGATTAAAGTAGCTGAATGATCTGTAATCGATTAAAAGTAGCTGAATGATCTGTAATTCGTGTTGGTTTTATAATATGTGGCTGCAAGCAATAGACAGCCAAAGTATTGATGAACTCATCAGTAACAGTATGGGACTCAAAGTTTAATAAATTTATATTGAAATCTCCCATCGAGATACAAAGCTTTGATTCTCTTGAAATCTTATCAAGAACAGCAGTAAAATAATTAATAAAATTATCAAGGTTACTATGTGGATGACGATAAACTACTGAGCACAATATATTACGAGACCTACTGTGAATCTCAATCCATAAACATTCATAATCTTCCCCTGTTGAACTGAGGTCATCGCGAGTATGAAATTCAATATTATCAGATATATAAAATCCTACTCCACCGGCATTGCTAATAGATGCCTGAGAGATTAACTGGTAACCCGAAATAGCAATATTAAATAGCGGGTCCTTATTAACAACTATTTTAGTTTCAGACAAGCCTACTATACTAAAGTTATAGTTTAAGTCAGCTAAACGTGCTATTAGGCTATCCTGATTAGCATTCAGACTCCTCACATTACAATGCAATAATGAGAAAGAGTCCTTAGAGATTACATCATGAATATACTGGCAATTAGCAAATTCTTGTGGAGTATAGTAATCAAAATTAATATCCGGTAATAAATTATTTTCAATGTCAAAACCGCCAAGATTTGGCACATTAGTCAGGCTTTGAAATTAATTCAAACCTGGGCAAAGCCTCAAGATGATCATAACTAGTCATAGATTAGTTCATAATTGCACTGGTAGCTATAAATTGAATACTTGCAGTTGACACATATAAGCAACAGGCCAAATATGTTCATTTATTTGTTTACTTATCTTGATGATGTAAATTTATCCAGGTCCTCTTTACAGGCGATGATTCTAGTAGGAGTGTCATTATTCTTCCTCATATATATTCGACCTTGTTGTGTCCAGATATACTTGAAATTACTGCTGTGTTTGAATTTCAAGCAATCTTTAAATAGTTCCTTGTTCCTTGAGCTCAAACTCTCTGATACATAGATCTTATTGCCGGATATCCTCGACAGGCCAAGGTCTTTCGTGCTTATTTGCTTGAGACTCTTTCGGTTTTTATAAAACAGCTCCTTCATTTCCCTGCGCACGAACTTTACAATCACTTTCGGAAATTGGGAAGCGGGATTATTTCTATGCATAACGCCTTCACTCGCCCGTGAACTATACAAATTACTGCTTGGTAGACGATGAGAAATAGATATATCGCTGTTATTTAATTTTACTCCAAAAGTGAGCCAATCTTAATTACAAGGTCATTGGTATTTTCACTCTCTTGAACAGGAAGGCCCGAGATCTCGACACACTCACAGCGGCCATATTGATTCATATTACCGATCTCGGAAGAAACCTCATTAAATGATTTCGATAGTCTCAGGACTTCAGCTCTCAAGAATTTATTCTCTTGGATAACCGATTGACATTTGCCTTCCAATTCCCCAACACGATTGTCAATAGAATCATACTTATCACTGAGGAATTTTATGCTGTCTTTAAGATCGCCCATTGATTCACAAATTGGTTTGAGCTTCTCTTCGAGTTTCTTGTCCAATATTTCTTCGAGTATCTCTTTAGTAACTTGAGTCATGATTACAAATACAAATAGGATATACAAACAACAAAAAAAATAACTGGACTAGTATGCAAAACAAGAAAAAAAAATAGCAAATTCTTGTGAAGTAACACGGAGCTAACAATACACGTCCGCCATCTTCGGGTCGAATCTCTTCGTTTATTGGATTCAACATCTTCTGTGCAGGAAAGTGAGGAAGATACTGGTTGTTCCAGAACTAGAGGAAGGGGAAGAGGTCGCTCCAGGGCCAGAGGTCGTGTAAGGGGGAGAGGTCGTGCAAGGGGGAGAGGGCGTTCCAGGGGGAGAGGGCAACACGAATGGCGTACGAGCACCTAACATACTACAAACGCGATGCTGGCTGAAAAGTTAGCAACAAAAAACACGTGGCGTACGAGCACCTACCATAAATGGCGTACGAGCACCTACCATACTACAAACGCGACGCTGGCTGAAAAGTTAGCAACAAAAAACACAGCAGACAGTGGCTACAACTAGCGATTGACACCCAATACCATCAACTACGTCGAGTTCGCCAATTTGTATTCCCTTTAAACCGGCAAGAAAACGATGAGATATCATGCCTTCAGAAAACCTTGAAAGAAATCAAGCAACGTAAACTTGAACAATTAATCTTTCGACAACGGTAAACTTATAGTACCATTGCACAATTCAAACCCCAAGGATTCAAGAACATGTCATCAGAATCTATAGATTCAAAACTTGAAATGTTGCTTAACAAAGGACCATAATTTGTTAATGCGGAACCTGCTGAACTCTCTAAACATTGCCTAATTTCAAGGGCCAGTTTGCAACTTGCGATAGATCAACTTGTTGAGGATGGTGTTCCAGACAGAGCTATAAATGAATTAAAAGGAGGACTTGCTCGTATCATTAATAATTGTGAAAAATTCGGCAAGGAAATACTAACTAAGAAGAAACTACTATTTAAAAGACCCGTGAAATCTGTTGTTATTACATCAACCGACAAAACAAAGCGTCTGATCGCATTGGATTCTGAGCGCTATGATAACATGGTCAGTAAATTTACTATAGACACAGGTAACTATAAGCCCCTGAAAAGACTAAATTTACCCAGGACAGAACAGATAAATTTTAACAAGGTTCTAAATAAAGTCGCGAACAAATATAAATCTAGTGGCCCGAAGATGTATAATAATATAAGGGCTAACATCTGGAGTGAACCCATGCCGTGTCCAGTATATTGCTTACCTAAAGACCATAAAGAGGGGGATTTGAAGGGACGACCGATACATGCTGCTACAGACACACAATTGTCCAAATATTTAGCCAAACAGTTAAACATGCTGTTATGTTACGTACCTGCCCACCTAAGGAATACCACAGATTTCATTGAATTCATTAGTAATCTAGATTACAGTTCTATTCATGGGTTTCTCAGTTTGGATGTTTGTAACCTGTACGGGTCGATACCCCTGGATGATCTCAATGAGAACACACCTACTGTATTTACGGTTACTAAACGCTTCTTTCATGAACATAAAAAAAATTGTGAGCTGCGCACCTTGGAAGATGATGACTTTGAGACATTAGTTCGTTTATGTTTAACGAGTGATAACCTATTGATTGGCGATGAAAGTTATAAACAAAAATCAGGCCTGGCTATGGGTAATAACCTGGCACCATCTCTGGCAATAATATATATGAATGAACTTGATTCGTTAATTGTCAGTCAAGCCGAAGGCCATATTCTCCTCAAACGATATATTGACGACTATTTTGTAGTCTTGTTACCTGGAACTCTGCTACAGAATCTAGCTTTCTGGTAACATTGCGGTATAACTCTCGAGCTTAAAGTTCATCTCGTAAATTTTCGTGTTGATAAGGCTGTGGTCTTTTATTCAAGTCATTTCAGCGTTCGTGCTAGTGTGTCATTATCTCATATGCAAATTAACATCTGGTGACTGTAAGATAGGATTCAAGTTTGTGACCTTAGGACTTTCCGGGTCAGAAATGGCTTTGCCCCTGATTTGCGATCAAGATTTATGAGTTTTGCTTTAATTGCCTCAGATTTTTCTCCTTTCACCGTTTTATTATTCGAATACCAACGATACCGATAACGTATCGCTACTTCCCCATTTTCGAATAATTTTCAGTGTCCCGGCGGGCATGATCATGTTCAATAGCCATGTGAAGGTCTTCTAGATTTCGTTGCCACTTCATACCTCCTCTGTCTGTGATTTGACTGAGTTGAAAATTTGCCCTGGTTTTGTTTGCTTTTTTGTGTGTTTTTTTTTATTCTGCGCGGTGGCAAGTGTGTTTGGCGCGAAATATACTAGTATTTGAAATGTGTATGACCGTATTTATCTACTTCACGTTTTGTCTCCCAAAAGTTTTGGTGCACAGCTTTCTCTAATTTTCCAATATGCGATTCGATTTCGTTTGTTTGAAAATACGACAATTCTTCCAAGAGGAACAAATAAACTGTTCTTTTGATGCTATCGATTAAGTTTAGATTTAATTGTGGTCAGAATATATTAATTTTAATACATGTGGATTCTGGTCCTATTTTAATAATATTGCTGCTATTTCGCCGTTTAACAAGATGTGGTCGTGTATGCGCACGTTGACACGTCGTAATTTGCACAAGGTTGAAGATTTAAAATAACTGCATGCATAAGCGCAAATTACAAAGGCAAAGTGTAAGACAAAGTGAACGTATTATGCGGTTTATTTACATTTTTGAACAATTGAACCACTATACTTTTTAAAGTACGACGTTGCTTCTGAATTTCGCGATCAAACACCATTTATGTTGGCAAGGCATCTAAATGAGTATTAATTGTATTGTTTATGTTCAGAAGCTTTATATTAAAGACCGGCACGTGCACGGCACGCCGGAGTTAACGCCAGAACAGGCATCTTGTTTTTATTGTAAATTGAAAACATTCCTGTATAATATCAACTCTTATAATGAATTTTCACAAATGAACATTTAATCGGCCGTCTATTGGTCTAGCTTTGTGCTTTTACTCTTATATTAATCCAATGAGTGAGCACGGTACGGTTAATACTGCATGCATATAAAAAAAGTGGATTGGAATCCAATTCACTTGCATGCAGTATTGTACCGTACTGTGCTCACACGCATTTGATCACGAATCTGTATAATTTGGCCGATATGGGCCGGATCATCATCTGTAAATAAAAATGTTGACCTCATATGAGCTATTTGGCTTATATCATTTTCGCGCTCTTTCGGATTCGAGTTACTGCATGCCATGCCACACTATTGTTTTTATAATGTAATTTTGGTTCAAATACATAGCTACATATACATGCATATGTCGTTTTGTTTAGGACTACTTGAGAGTGCTCAATACCATATGGATAAAGCAGATTGGAAGTATCGTATGCTTACTAAAAATTGTCCACTACAGTCCTGTTTCATCCTTATATAAAGTTCTCAGATTCCTATACGGATGAAACAAATGCATGCAGTGGACTATTTTTGGTAAGCAATACCTCTATAATTAATATATGTATATAATTTATATGTAGCTATCATTGTATTTTAGCTCAAATTCAGAAATCCATACTTCTCAATCTGGGATGATATCTTCAATGAATTAACTTCTCTTATTCAGTCCAGGGAACTGCAACAAGCAGTGGAGCAAGTAAGAAACGACTGATTTTTTCGGAATTTCTGCAAATACGTTGTGTTAGTTATTTATGACCATATATATATATATATATATATATATATATATATTATATATATATATATATATATATATATATATATATATGTATATTATATATATATATATGTATATATATATATTATATGTATAATATATGTATATATATATATATATATGTATATATATATATATATATATATATATATGTATATATATATATATATATATGTATATATATATATATATATATATATATATATATATGTATATATATATATATATATATATATATATATATATATATATATATAATATATTATATATATATATATTATATATAATATATAATTATATATATATATATATATATATATAATATATTATTATATGTATATATATATATATATATATTATATAATATATATAATTATATATATATGTATATATTATATATTATATATATATATATATATATATGTATATATATATATAATATATTATATATGTATATATATATATATATATATATATATATATATATATATAATATATATATATATATATAATCTTGGATTTGTGCGTAGTAAACCAGAGTGCTCAATACAAGTAAATAGTAGAGCAAAAAAAATTGAACAAAAGGACAATTTGTTAAAATTGTCCGTTGAACAAAAGGACAGAACTGTTTAGTAAATGCCGGCATAGATATGGTTTTAAGGTTTGTAATGTTAAGCGCACGCGAACATCCACGTTAAAACTCTCGCGTGATCAATCAAAAACGGGTGAGCGTAAACCGTTGTAAATAGTTATCGCCTGAGGATCGTACTAAAACTAGTACGTGAAACACAGTGTAGCGATGAAATACAATTTTATGATTATATTTTGTTGATTTGTTTATATATATATATATATATATATATATATATATATATATATATATATATATATATATATATTGCTATTCATACCAGCTATATCTATCAATAAATTCAACATTTCATCTTATCTCAAGCAAAGAATACTATTTAAACTGAATCTCGTGCTCATTTCATTCTTATTCATACTCTCTCTACAGGTTGTCTCCAACGAAACGACGATGATGACGACAGTAGAAAACATGCATGATGAAGGGCATGGAATTTACTGCTTATGTCCAGACACTATTGTAACCATCCCTACTTCTAATATCCAGACTAAAGTCGATCTTCATTATTTTTAAATCAAACATAAGTATGTTAACAGACAAGCCATGGCAGTATCTGTGCAGGTGTGTGGAAGCAATCACTGTTCTGAACCTCAAATATGTTTTTCGAAATTTGATGTTTGTTCGGTACTGTAATACTGCATTTGTAATGTAATTAATTACCCACATACAGTTCCCATTGTTTGAAACAACACTTTTTACAGGAAGCCAAAGATGCCCTTCAGGTTCAGGTGGATAAATCACGAACAGGTGGAGAAAATCCGTCCTCTGTTGTCCCATTGCTCATCTTCAGCGATGAAACAAGTGGGAACACTACGAAAAAGTGGAATCGGTTGGGGAGTTTCTCTGTGAACATGGCAGGTCTTACACGCAAGGAATTCTGTAAAATGGAGAATATTCATTTTCTAAGCACTTCCAATACTGTTCCATCAGTTGGGGAATCTATTGCCTGTGACCTAGAAGGTAGATTTAAAAGTTTAATGAAGGTACCCGAAATGTTTTGTAATGAGAAGTGGTATTTTACTTTTTTGTAGAACTAGCATGTGGTAAAATGATGTACGACAATTTCGTCGATAGAGAAATTCTGGTGAAGTGCCCAGTATTGTGCGTATTGGCGGATAATCCACGCGCATCAGAGTTCGAACATCACTTGGGTAGCTGCGCAAACAAGTTTTGTAGAAAATGTAATGTTATTAATTATTATTATTATTAAAACTTTATTAAAAAAGTGTCAATGTATTTAGATTTTAGAAGCTAATTGGGGACACTTATCCTAACAATTTAGACATAATATCAATCTATATTATTGCTTATTTACAATATAAGATATTAACATATAAAATAAAGTTTTCAAACAAGTTATATAAAATAAATAAGGAGCGACACTTTATAGCATTACGTCAGGCAAAGACTACAGTTACCACAATTGTTTTCAATTAAATCCTTTAAATTTTTCTTCCTAATGATCTTTTTAAAACTTTCTAGAGATAGATTGTCTCTATCTTCCCGACTCAATATGGACCATATATATGGTCCAAAGTATCTAATGGAATGTTTTCCGTACTGTACAGTATTAAAACGGGGTCTATGGAAATCTGCAATACGTAGACCATAGCCCTTATCAACGAACTCAAAGATTTTAGTGATGTAAGTTGGACCTATATTATGTTTAACTTTAAACATAAGATTTGCAATGTCTTGTAATCGCCTATTATAGAGGGTTGAAAGGTTAGCTCTATTTAGTAATTCCTCATATGAATCATTCTTAGTGTTAAATATAGCTCTTAATGCACGCTCTTGCACTCTTTCTAATTTCCGTCTGTCTGACGCTTTACAAAAATGCCAGACTGTATGACAGTAGGTTAGTTGTGGGAGGACTGAGGTTTTGTATAGATCTAACTTTCCTTTTATGGGAATAAGGTTTCTCAGTCTTAGAATAACTCCTACTTTCTGACTGGAACGTTTGCATATTTCACTGATGTGAGAACTAAAGTTTAGTTCATCGTCTAGGTCTACGCCAAGGATCTTCAATGTCTTTGACGAAGTTACTTTGTTTTCATTTATATTTATGGATAATACGTCATCACTATCCTTTTGTACCTGTTGCTTTGGAATGATTGTAAGAATTTGATACTTCTTTGTGTTCATTTGAAGCAAATTATCTTTATACCACGAGGAGATTAGTTCAGCTTCTTTCAGCAGTACATTTTGTATATTATCTAAGTATTTCCCTACTTTGTAGATCTGATGATCATCTGCATACATGTAGAGGGAGTTTTCACTAACTTTGTAGGATAGATCATTTTGGAAAAGGTTCCACAAGAGGGGTCCAAAACACGATCCTTGAGGGCATCCCATTTTAACCTGTTTCCACGTGCTTGTCTTTCCATTCAATTTCACCCTGTTAAATCGATTGGAGAAAAAT